TTCAGAGCCAGACACAGAGGCACACACCTTTAATCTCAGCACTCAAGAAGCAGACATAGGCAGAGCTCTGTGAGATCAAGGTCAGTATGGTCTACAAAATGAATTCCAGACCAGCTGGGGCTACAGGGAGACCCTGTCTGGGGGGAAAAAAAAAAACAGATTCAATAATTTTTTATTTTGGGCTGGACAGATGGCTCAGCAGCTGAGTGCTTGCTGCTCTTCCAGAAGATGATAGTTCAGGTCTCAGCACCCGCAACAGGCAGCTCACAACCACCTGTAACTCCAGCTCCAGGGGCTCAGATGCTTGTTCTGGTCTCTGAGGACACTACACACATGGCAGATGATCACACTTACACATAAATAACAACAATAATAATTTTTTATTCTAAACTCCCTAAAACACAGCAGCATTAGCCAGCACACAACTTTCTATCGGTCCTCTACAAACTTTCTTATAACAAAAGCATATTCTGACGACCTGCTGTTCTATGAGAAAAACTGCTACAGAAGTGTCAGGCTGGATTTCAGCTACCAGCTCTGTGGCTCTGCTGCTCCCTCTCAGAACACCTTAGTGAACATTTCACCAAAATGCTGTACAAATTGCATTTGTCTGCTAATTTAGTCCAGAATACTCAGAATAGAATATTTTCAACAATTTTTTCTGCTCGTAAGTATAAAAGAAAATGTAGATAAAGATCTCATGTGAGCATTAATTCCACTTTTTCACCCTGAGTATATACAACATACAGAATCTTCATCCAGGCTCATTTCCTGTGAGGATTTATTTGGCGTCATTTTACATCTTTACAAGTGACTTTCTGATTTGATTTGGCCCATTTAATTTCTAGTTTATGCCTTGAATATTATATTTTCTTATTTGGTCAATCTTTGGTTTTTATCTAAAAAAGGAAGCTTTCTGGGCTGGGAAGATGCCTCAGCCAGGGAAGTGTTCGCCTTGCAAACACAAGAATCTGAGTTTGATCTGGAGAATTCATTTTTTAAGAAAGCCACCACTCCTAGAGGGGGAGGAGACAGGTGGACTCCTGGGGTTCTCTACCAGCCAGCCTAATCAAGTTCCAAGAGGGACCCTGTTTCAAAAGAAGTAAACCACCCTGAGCACCCTGAGTAACAGCACCTGGGACAGGTCTCTGGCCTACACAGGCCCAGGGAGGGAGGGAAGGAGGGAGGGAAGGAGGGAGGGGGGGAGAGAAGGGGAGAGAGGGGGAGGGGAGGGAAGAAGGAAGAGTGATAAGGCTTTACCCTACTGGG